TCTTTCTCTGCTCATTCTTATGCCAACAGGAGATATCTCCCTCGTCCTCTTTAGGACAATCTTTAAAACAAAACAGGCAGCAAGGATGTGCTTCTTGACTAACATGCTAGGACTTTGCTTCTACGATGTACGAGGGAGCACCTGCAGCACTTCATGTGAAAACTCCGTGTTTTGGGCAAGAACGCAGAGACATCTATCCTCTTCATGAGAAGCGATCCCTCACCCCTCTGTGATTCTGAATATATCAATCAGCCAGATCACCAATAAACGAGAGTTCTTGTAACCTTCGAATGAGAAGTATGTAGGTTCTAGTCTTCTGCTCTTTCCGGAGTTGGGGTGGCAGGATGGCATCCTCAAGAGTCGCGACGAGCAGCTCAGTCAGCCCAAACCCCTAAGCCCTTGTTGGCTCGAACAGCAGAAATTCCATATTTCCTGCAGAGGTGCCACATAAGAACCGCCATAGATGGCATAGTAGAGGACCAGCGGAACCGCGACGACGTACATGAAAGGAGCCTAAAGACGGGACCGCAAGGCCGTTCGTGCAGCCTGGACTGTCGGATCACAAGGCCAGGCCGCCATAGTCAAAGCCAGGAGGTACATCAGCAGCCACTGCCGCACCCCCTGCAGAAGTCATGAATTTCCTGAATTTCCCTACTACCCCCCTAAAAACTACCCCCCTAGTTTCCCCCCTTAAATCACCTTAGCTAGGCTTAATTATCCCGAAATAGCCTTAATTATGGGGGGAACGCAGGGGAGTTAGTAAAGAGGGGGGTAGTAGGGGAACCCATGAAGAAAGAAGCAGCGTTGTCCACGGAGCTACAATGCTCTGCAGCTCAGGAGGTTCCTGTGCCGGCCTCACAAGCAGGCTCAGGAAGACCGCGCAGCAAGTAGTACCAGCCCTCGGCCCAGCACCACAGCTGCAGCACGCCTAGGTAAGATCGAAAAACTGAAGCACACAGAAGGGCAGAAACACCATGCAAATGACATACAAAGCTGGAACTGTTTCGAGGCAAATTTCTCAACATGTCGTACCACAGACTTCTTTTGGGGGCTTCTAGCTTCGGAGCCCTGGCCTGCAGCAGCCAGGGATACTATGGCCAACAGCAATGGGACGCGAAGGCGGCGCGCCTCTCAATGCGAGCGGAGAGTCATGCAGAATTGATAGGAAGGGAAGGATATGGTTTCTTTTTGGTGGTAAGCTCCCTTCTACGTCATAGGATGGGAAGGATATGGACATCCGCGCAAGGGTGTTCCACGATGTTTCGGGGGCGCCCCGCCTGGGTCCTCGCCAGCTGTGGCACAGGCTCGGGCAGGTTGAGGCCAATGTTCGGGAGCCTCGCATCCAAAAACTCAACCCTCACTTCCCTTGGCCACACGGCTCCCCCGTCTTGCCGAGTCTTGCGTGCAAAGCCACCATCGAAGAACCAGCTCGTCACAAATCACATCGCACCTAGCTGAGCAAAGGCTTCAGCAGTGATGAGTCGTACAGTGCGCTAGGCATCCCCGTTCGGGTTCTGTCAATCCTTCGATCCTGTAAGGGCCTGAAAATTAACAGAAGTAATTGCGCTGAGCATGACGGATCCTTGCAAATGGAACCTTCCATTGACACGGTGCTTCGACGTGATTGGGGCCAGCCCCCTACGAGTCGTTGCAAACTGAAGACCTCTCCGGAGCCCGGGTAACTCCATCGATGTGACGTGACGGGACTGCCAGGATGCGCTATGAGGCCTTAAAGTCATAATGAACCCTATATAGAGGGCCTTTTCAGGAATTACAGGGTATAATTAGGCCTTAAAATCCCCGTAATGAACCCTATGTAGAGGGCCTTTTCAGGAATTCTAGGGCATAATCGCCCATCCTGGGTCAGTTCATCGGGCTCTCTGGTGCTGTTCGCGGTGCGCGTGGCAGGCAGCGCAGCGACAGCAGCGGCTACTCAGCGAAGGTGCTGCCATGCTGCTGGTGTGTTGGCTGACGTCTGGACCGCTTGTGGTGGTTGAATTGTGTTGCTGAGCTTGAAAATATACCCCATGCATTGTCCAGAAGGGGCATGTGACGAGCTGCGGGTGATTTAGCTGTAACTTTCTCGCCGAAGCAAAGCGTGGCACACACCAAGGCTAACGATGCAGAACGCCGCACGGAGGGCAACTTCATCACAACAATCACTTGCAATGATCGCACATGATCGCCCTGCTTCAGCATGCGAAGTGGCAGCATTGGCTCAATCCAGCGTTGGCCTCAATAGCGGACAGCCACGGAGAGTCCTGCAAGATTTGCATATTCAACTTACCCACACCAAGACCATCTGCAGGCATCCATTCCCGTCCATTTTTCACCGAGCACTAGAAGCCGCCGAGGCATCTGGGCGAAGCAGTATCAGAAAGTGTCTCAGGTACCCACCACCCAATCCTCCTTTCAGGGCCCGCAGTCCGATTGCCACCTAAACACTCGAGATCTCCCAGAACCTCCCGTTCGCAATCTGCAAGATCCCCCTTCAAGGAGGGACCTTTCTAACCAGAACCTCAGGACCCGATAAACGCTCCAGAGACGGCGCAACCGGCAAAACCCCCTGAGACAATGGTGGACTCTCTGGCAAGGTTGGGGGTCGCAGCCTAATGCTATAGGGACTAGACACCTCGCATCGCAACCGCTGTTCTTGACTCGCACCGGACCTGTTCTTGGCGTCGATTTCTGGGGATGTCGAGCCCGTAGGCCCAAAACTTGGGGCCTTTGGCTGTCCCCTGGAATTCAGGCTCAAGCTGGTGGCGCCGCAAAGCAAATTCAACTACCACCGCAAAGGCTACACAGAACGGGACACTTGGATTGAACCACATTGGGGGGCATGCTGCTGTCAAAAGCGCGTGTTAAATCTATGCTATGTGTCAGTGCTCGTGTGGATTCTAAAACCCTGAACCCTATAACAAACCCTATAAACCCCATAAACCCTAATAAACCCCAACAAGCCCTGTAAACCCTATAAACCCAATAAACCCTATGAACCTCAATAAGCCCTCTAAACCCTATAAACCCCATAAACCCTATGAACCCTATACACCCTGTAAACCCCTGTAAACCCCTGTAAACCCCTATAAACCCTATAAACCCTATAAACCCTATAAACCCTATAAACCCTATAAACCCTATTAACCCCAAAAAACCCATAAACTCTATGAACCCTAAAAACCCCATAATCCCCATAAACCCCACAAACCCCATAAACCCCATAAACCCTATGAACCCTATAAACCCCACAAACCCGATAAGCCCCATGAACGATATGAACCCTATAAACCCCAGAGACCCTGTAAACCCCATCAACCCTTTCAACACCATAAACCCCGTACACCCTTTTAACCCTAAACCCAAAACGTTGGCATCAGTCCTCACGTGGCCAAACAGCGCTGCTGCGCAGGCCCGGAACCTCAGGAACCCAAAAGCTCGCTGCGGAGCAATCACATGACACGCTTGCAAACCACTGTGCAGCCCATGGAATACGCACATTCATAGCCACACATATGAATGTATGTATGTATGTGCAGAAAATATATATGTATATACAATATGCACATAACAACGATTATACTTCTTGTGGTAACCGGTATCATGACAATGACTGTAAGCAAAGCAACTATCACCACGTGAGCAACTTTTGGGCCAACTCTGAGCTGCAGTTTGAGGCTTCTGCGTTGTCGGGTGATCGGCACATCAGTGGAATCTTGTGCTCCCAGATCCGTCCGTTCATCCGAAGCAGAAGCCATTGCCGCACGCGCTTGCACTCCTCTCACATTCATACCGTTTCAGAATTCTCACAGGAATGCAGGGCTAACATGTGCTATTCATTTTTTATAAACTGCATCGGGGATGAACACGTGAGCAGTGCAGGCGCTATGATCCTCTGATAGCATGCACATGCAAGCTGCCAGATGCGCTCAGTTGCGCCTCATCGTTGGCTTTGCAGATCTTGTCCTGGATGAACTTTTTGGCCTAAGCAAGAGGCCGCCTCGCGAAAAACGAACCTCGCCCGAATGATGCACACTGTGTGCCGCACGCCGGCACGGTGCAGCCCAGTAACCTGAGTCACGAAATCAACTGCCCGCTACTTATGCTGCGTGCTGGCTGTTCGATAGCTAGGCATGCGTACATGAGAGACTTGTCAGACCTGCCAAGCAGCAAGCCACTCGTCCAGCACCTCCCCAGCAAGCGAGCTTCCAATTGCTGACTTTTCTCACGTGCTCATGGCTGAGCGAACAGAAATCGCAAGTGACCCACTGCTGCAGAGCCTCGCCCAGCTGAAAACAACATACCAGGGTTACCAGGGTGTCCCTGAAAACCATCTGAAGAATACTCCCTAGTAACGATCTCTAAAACCCAATACTATGGGTACATAAAGAAAGGTCCCAAGGACCGACCTAGCATAAGAAAAGAGTCAGTGGTATTACCTTCTCACAATCGTTCGACCTCTGGTAGAGGCAGAGTGGCATGCTGCTCCTCAAGTGTAGCCGGAAGGCCATGTGAGAGGTTTCACTCGAATGAATTCGGAAACACTACCAGTAGGAGTAGGCGGTGAGAATGGTCCGGACTGAAACAGATCCCAGGAACCTTCTCCACGGCAGACAACACGCGAGCAGCGCTGGTTGAAGTCTCTGCAGCCTGAGCGGAATCGGAACCTTGCTGTGCTGGTCCTGCTGATACTTGGACTCTGTCTGTGAGTATTTCCGCTCGACCTGGCCTCCGCATCCGCAGAGTCACCCTGTGCCATGGCACAGAGGGCCCTGGCCTTTCCTCTCCGATTTCGAGTCGTGCGCGAGCTCTTGGCTTGGCCGTGCATCTGACTGAAGTCGGTAAGACTGGGTTTTTGTATGTGTTTGTGGTCTCAGTGGTGGTTTCAGGCTGCCTTCTCAACATCCAGGCTTCTTAGAGTCCGAGCCGAGACAGCAGAATAAGCCGATGCAAATTTCTCTGCAGAACTGGCATCACACTCTGACGTGACAAGCGGAATCCGCCTGAAGCGCTTCCAGTGTGGATACTCATATCCATAAAGCAGCAGATGATCGTACCCAGCATTCCTGGAGAAATACCTTCATGCTACAAGAGGCTGCAAGTGGAGTTTTGGGGCGTGCGGTCAGCACTGGTGCTGCTTGCAAGCTGGTTACAGCGCACACGAATACCCCACCAGTGCAGAAAGCTCGGTGCAAAGGAAAGCCGCAAGCAAGATGGCCTTGACTGCTGAAGCGTACCCACAACATCTCGCACGCATTGAAGGTGGCTGGCCTTGGACTAGCAACACTTTGACGCCACTGCAGGCCTGCCCGGGCCACAATGTGCTGACGAATATTGCAATAAGAGCGCGTTCTGGGGCATGTGGCATTTTGCTCAGGTGTACGTTGGTCTAGCCAGAAGAGCACAGGGAAGTAGGCCGGGACCTCGAATCACAAAAGCACATTCTACCAGCCTTGGCGATCCGAGCCTGGCCTACACAGTGGATGTTCCCCCTTATACTAACAGTCCTTCATACGGATCATAATGGTGGGTACTATAATCCCGATTAAGGACTGTTAGGATAAGGGGGAACATCCCAAATTTGGGCTCAGGACTGAACCCAGAAGAGAGATGCGGCCTCCGCGAATTGGGAGAGTGGGCACCATCCATGCCAGCTGCAATCAACCGTATCAGCTCGGGAGCTCTATGCAGCTCTCATCCAGATGTCATGCATTGCACAGAGAGCCCAATTTGAAGCTTCATGATACTCCTTTCTTGGCCGAGACCGAAGTGCTGTTGAATCTGCCTCTGGCCGGTCCACCCGATGCCATCGGTCCAGGTGGTCCTGAAGGGACCAAAATGCAATAAAAGTCCGCCCAAGCTAGGTGTCGCCTTATTTGGCGATGTCAATCCTAAGAGCCAAACATAGACAGCGGCGACTAGTCTCTTCAGACAAGCACTAGGTTTTGTGCTTCGTGCCTAACCCGAAACCCTAAGCCCTAAACCCCTGAACGTTAGGTTTATGCACCTGAACGGCAACACCCAAACCACTGTTCCACCAAAAGCGCCCTTCCGAAAGCTTCAAAGGCGAAACGGGTAAAGGTGTTTAGCATCGGAGCTCCAGAACTACATGTCCTGGAAGTTGCACAACAATATGGCAGTGCGGACTCCAGGGGATGGGTATGCACAGAAGAGCCACACGGTTTCAGAGCCGCATGGGTGTTTCAGGGGTTTTTGTCTGTCGGGTTTAGGGTTTAGGGCGTGTTCTTTGAGGGCAAACACTGGAGCTGAAGAATGAAGACTTCTCAAGCTAACCCAGGTTGAGGGAGATGTGGAGCCACGACCCATAGCTACAATACATCTCAGATCACAGCGCGCAATTGCGTTCGGTGAGATGTTTCTGACTTAAGCCCTAACCTTCAGAGGCGGTCGAGGAAACTTGCCTGTGCACATGATGAGGAAGGAGCTTCTAGATGATCATCCCATGCTTGTTGGATCTTGTTGGTAGAATCTGATTCAACAAGGCTCTACCTCCCCTTTGGTCCTCGATTGCCAGAATCTGCTGCAGCATGCCCCTGACGTGCAGCTGCTCCTGGGCTTTTTGTGGAGCCCGGTTGGATGATCTAGGAACCGAAGCTCGACACCGACCAATTAGCTGCTCCACCAAACAAAATCCTAGGGTTTAGGGTTTAGGGGTTAGGGGTTAGGGCTTAGGGGTTAGGGTTTAGGGTTTAGGGCTATGAAAACTGCAAACGCGAGCTTGGACCGCTACACTCTCGAGCAGCCCCGACGTGGGCGAGGACACTGCTGCGCGGGCCTGCGGGGCAGTTGCACGTGCCAATCTCTGGGCAATTGCCCAGAAGCTGCAAGCTGCAGCAGGGCCGCAGAGGACTATGTTTCAGGACATTTCATGGAGCAGGCGCAAGCGGCAGAGCCCGAAATCGACTGAGTCGCAGATACTCGCACCTCACTTCGAGCGCAGCTCGGCACGTTGTAGGCGTAAATGGCAGGCGCCCTGTTGCAGGCTTTTTGGATTAGGGTGTAGGGTTTAGGGTTTATAGAGTTTAGGGCTTCAAGTTTAGGGTTTAGGGTTTGCTGCACTGCCGTGGAAGCTATGCAGGAGCCAGCCGGCCTTGTCGCACGAGAAGCCTCGCCATCTGTGGATGCCTTACGCCCGAACTGATGTTGCTGGAATGGAGAAACTCATCAGTAAAGCTGTGCAAAAAAATCAGTTTGAAGATCTTGTTAGCATCTTCAAGTTTGGGTTGCAAGCTTAAACATTTATTTTCCGGTTCGGGAAGGTTTGGGAACTATCTTTGAGTCAAAGATATTCTTTTCTCTGAGCACAGGTTCCTCCGATTGCGGCTTTTTGTGCCTTGAACGTGATAACATATGAAAAGGGCTTCTGGCAAAACTTTCGACCTTTGGAAACTATTCTTGAGTTTCAGGACTGTGTCGTTTTGCATTCGCATGACAAAATCATTCCAAAATGAGAGAGTGGGCGAAGAAACACCCACACACGGCTTCTGAAAGGCGAAGAAACGTCGGACGCGGCACCAGGAGCGATGGGAAGTGACACGGGCAGTGACAAGCTCGCAGATTTTGCAGTTGGAGTCTGGAACTGTGGCTTCGCATCATTTTTGGATGTAAGAGTAGGTTGTGTATGTGGCCGTTCGCCCCGTCACTGTTGCGTCTTGTTGGTCTGGTAATGGCGAATTCACGTGACTGCAGTAACACAATAGACCTAATAGACCTGCTTGTGAGAGCTGAAGACCTCCAACGAAAGCAATAAGGTCTCGGGTTTAGGGTTTAGGGTAGTAGACTGCTTGTGAGAGCTCAAGACCCCAAGGGCTTACTTGCGAGAGCTGAAGACTTCGGGGCTGTCGCGCTTCTTTCTGCTTTGGTTTTGAGGTTTTAGGAGGTTTAGAAGGCTTAGGGAATATCTTACTTAGAAGGCTTCGAGAGAGCTCGATTGTGGATTTTTTGCATCCTGTTCCGAAATAATGGAAATTCAGCCTCGGACAACGGTGTAATGTGGAAGTTATCTTTTTGGGCCTTTGGGGGCCACGTTTTTGGGTTGCAGGGTGTGTTTTTGCATTCGCGTGACAAGATCGTCGGGATAGCACCAGGTTCCCTGCCTCCGCATTCGCAGCACAGGCTCGTCCTTGTCGCCATGGCAGACCCAACAGCAAGTCGACAGCCCAAGATGGCAGAAAGGAACTTAAAGGCCCCCTCAAGTCCCCCTTCAAGCTGGTACCGGACGAGCTTGCGCCAAAAAGACAGAGAGGTTTTGCTCCAGCGGAGGAATCACCCATGGAAGAGATATCCTTCTACACCCGAAACCACGCCAAACATTAAAAAAAAAGAGATCGTCTCACATACTTACGAAACCGAGTCGACGAATCCGACCCTAACGCCTACGCCCCTCAGCCCTGAACCCTGAATCCTGAGCATCCCTAAACCATAAGCGCCTGAACCTTAATCCATGGAGAATGAAGTCTGGGATTTTGAACCTGCCAAAGCCCGGCCTGCAGATCCCGATCCGAGTGTCCATGCATAAATTGCCGGAATCGCCTTGATTAAAGTCAGTTTGGGACGGTTTTGCAAAGGGCTGCCAGTCTCAAGAAGGGTGCCGCAGAGTTTGCAAAGTGAAGCTTGAAGAATACGGCTTACGAGGCTCAGTACGAGGCGGGACCTGTCGACCATGCAATTGCCTTAGCACCATGAACCCTCAACCCTAAACCCTAAACCCTAAACCCTAAACCCTATATTGCAAAGCCAAATCAAGACAAGGCGCACGAGAAGCCATTGCGCAAAAGTGGAAGGCAGGCCATGGCCATGAGCCGGTGACTACGAGGATGGGCGATTATACCCTATAATCCCTGAAAAAGCCCTTTATAGGGTTTAGGGTTTAGGGTTTAGGGTGTAGGGTTTAGGGATTAGGGATTAGGGATTAGGGTTTAGGGTTTAGGGTTTAGGGGATAGGGGATAGGGGATAGGGGATATTCTTCCAAACAGGCCCTTTATAGGGTTCCTTTATGGGGATGTTAAGATCCTATAATCCCTGAAATGGCCCTTTATAGGGTTCCTTAAAGGGATGTTCAGATCCTATAATCCCTGAAATTACAGGATTCATTACGGGGATTTTAGGGCCCAATAGCCCATCCTGGTACACAACGAAACAACAAAAAAAGCTGCAAGTTGGAGACGAGGCTGGTATGTGTGAGCAATGGGCGTCCCGCGTGCCAGATGTTCCCAAACTGTGTCGCGGCATTGTCCTTGAACAAATGGTTTCCATGGAGCGTTTGCAACGCAATGTTTTCGCACGGTTTTGATGTGTCGCCTGGCCATCAAACGTCATCCAACCTTGTAAAGCTGATCGGCGTTCCCAGGTTGAATGTATGCCAAGGTTTGGCAATCACACCAACGTGTGTCATGATAAAGATGGTGGCTGCTCAGCATGAGATCCCATGAATCTGCGTGAAACAAAGTGCTTACACAATCCCTTCACCTGACTTCTTAACCAGGATGGGCTATTCCACCCCATAACCTCTGAAAAGGCCCTTTATAGGGTTCATTATGGGGATTTTAAGGCCTAGTAGCCCATCCTGGGAATGGAATTTGAGGCATACCAATACGTTCATGCAAAGCGGGGGGTTTGGTCGAAACTTGCTGGTCGTTTGGCATGCCTGGCTCTGCCCGCCCGGTGATTGCTCTTAAACGTTCACCGGCTCGTGGCTGCATCAGCTGTTGTGTTTCTAGGTGCGTTTGGGGTTGTGGGATTGGCGGTTCGGCTTCGTTGTCGACAAGTTGGGAATACCCACTGGGACGCTGACGCGTTCACGGGCTGCCAGCAGAAACATATTGCTACCACCCCAAGCCACGCCTTCCTTAAATGCAACTCCACTAATCGGCAGCACCCCCAGACCTAGGTGTCTGATTCTGATCCCCTCCCAAACACACTACGCACAGCCCTCAGTACCCTCCCAGCCGACACATGTGTGGGAGCCGACCGTGCATCAGCCCCCCCCCCCCCCACCCTCGGCGCCCCGAACCCCACCCCCCCCCTCCCAAAGCCCAAGCCAGCCCTAGTAGCCCCCCCACCAGCGCACCAAGGGATGTTTGTGGGGACTGTGCCCTTCCATCTTTCCATCTGCCCCCTCACCCGAACGCCATGCAAAGCTCTGCACTCCTTTTTCTGTGCAAGCTGACTTTGTCAGTGAAGGACGCGGGTGACACGCACGTCGCAATTACAGGCTTCGCCACTGTGCAGGCCGGCGGATCGCGTAGCGTTAAAATTAATTAATTAGGCCACCACAAGTGCCCTCCCTACAGGTCCGACCACACCTCACCATGCTTCTGGAATTGATGCTGCATCACTTCATCACTTCAGCGGACCTGTTGGTGGACTCACTGTTCAACTTTAAACAACTACAGGCCTTACAGGCCCAAAGTTACCGATCCATCGCCTTGATCTACAACTTGTGTTGGTAGACTTCGGGCCCATAAAGCTGCTAAGTTACAACGACGGCACACTGGAGAGTGGGCCTCGAGACCACGTCCAAAATGCCCCCCGAAAGCTCCGAAACGCCTCTGGACAAGCATCCCGGAGCTCATGGGCGCTTGCCCTTCCGTCGTGTTGAACTGGTGGCTCCAGTAGTGAAGCCACCAAGTCCCAAATGCCCATCTACGGATCGCGACATCGCATTGAGGACGCTGAGGCCCGGGTTCGAACCTGAGTTCGACCCCTGAGAGCCGGCAGCAGGCCCGCCGGGCTCTTCGTTGGGGTTGGTCTGCGACGAGGAGGATGGTGTCCTCATGGTGTGCGGGTCCCGTCGCCTCAGGGGTAGAAAGCACAACCCTGCCTTGCAAGGGATCTTGCATATGCAAGCAAGTGCAGGCATCTGCCCCCAAGCATCTACCCACAAGCATCTTGCTCTTTGTGCAGATCCCCCTAAACCCTCAACCCTCAACCCTCAACCCTCAACCCTCAACCCTCAACCCTCAACCCTCAACCCTCAACCCTAAACCCTAAACCCTAAACCCTAAACCTCTCAACATCTCTCATGGGCGTATCTGCACACCCTGCTGCCAGCCGGCGGGATGACCGGGCCATTGTCGTTCATGCCAATCGCTTCGCGAAAAGGAAGCGTACCTGGTCAAGGCAGAAACATCGGGACACCTGAACCTGCAGGCTGGTTTAGGGTTTAGGGTTTAGGGTTTAGGGTTTACGGTTTAGGGTTTCGGGTTTAGGGTTTAGGGTTTAGGGTTTAGGGTTTAGGGTTCGGCACATCCATAAGCTACTAATTGCTTAAGAACCCCTAATATAGGGATGATTCTTTCATATTCTTTTGGGGTTCTTAAGCAAACTTGTAGGCAGAGAGCCCGTTGTTCGATGTAAAAAGAATTGCTGTGAAAGACCCATGCTCTCGCAGCTCAGTACGGCCAAAGCAGGCAGCCTTTGTGCCATTTGTGCCCCTCCCTCCCCGGCCCTTGAGTAAGCCCAACTAAATCCCAACCTCCGCAGCCCCTCTCTGAGGGGTGGCGACTGAGAAATACTCGGGGTGTGACAATCATACATAGTACGAGTTTTCCAACAGCTCGGTCCTGCCTTTGGCCGGAGATGCGTTTGGAGGTTTGCGGTCTAGTTCACGCGATCCGGAATAACAAGGCTTTGCCAGCGCTCACAGAAAAACAATGGCTCCCAGATTCCATCCTACAGGTTACTACTCGAGCTGATTCATTTCACCGCAAGTGCGGTCTCCCTGAACGAGGTCTGTTCCTGTTTTCACTAAACATCCTGGCTGTGAGTCCCTGGTCTCTCTGTTTGTGTTATCGATGGCTGCTCTGGGACCGCATCTCGCCGATGGCCAAGGTGCAACAAGCCAGAGGCGAATTCTTAACGCTTTTCATTTCTTGCCTTTTTCAGTCCGCACTACAGTCCGGAAGGTCACTACACTAAAGTGCAAATGAGGAAAGAAGGGACCCCTAATAGAGTCCCCCAAATAGTAGGATACCCTCATAATAAGAACCCCAATAAGGTACCCCTAATTTCGAAAACCCCCACATGAATCAAGACCCCGGGATAATCCACCCTAAACCCTAAACCCTAAACCCCTAAATCAAAGAATGCATATCCGATTTCTCACCCCGCGGCCTGTCGTTCCAGGGCTCTGAATGTCAAGTCGCCGTGGCAGGCGATCTCTTCCCAACTCCACCCGACTCATCTCGTGCCTTAGGGTTTAGGGTTTAAGGTTTAGGGTTTGGGGTGGATTCTCCCGGCGCTTTGATTCACGTGGGGGTTAGGGGTGCCTTATGGGGGTCCTTGTTACAAGGGGATCCTGCTATTTGGGGTGGTCTATCTTCGAAGTCCCCTATTTTCCTAAACCCCGCATGTAGTGGTTCACAGGGCCTGCAAGCTCTGCGCATGCTACAGCTGCAACCACTCACTTACCAGGATGGGCTACTATACCCCGTAATCCCTGAAAAGGCCCTTTATAGGGTTCATTATGGGGATTTTAAGATCCTATAATCCCTGAAAAGGCCCTTTATAGGGCATAGGGTTCATTATGGGGATTTTAAGATCCTTTAATCCCTGAAAAGGCCCTTTATAGGGTTCATTATGGGGATTTTAAGGCCTCGTGTACGGCGAGAGCGCTTGGAGACAGCGCCCAGACTTTGCTGCCAGGATGCTTGACGGTTTCCCACATCGTCGCGCTGATGTCCTTTGCCTGCATGCGCAGCGGACGCGCACCCGACAGTGCACCTTTGCCTCCGTGTGCAGTTGGCTATCTATCTGGTCCGAAAGGGCAGAATTTTTCCGTGGAAGAAAGGGAGCAGGAAGCAGCATCAAGTAGCAAAGATGCAGCAAAGATGTGGGGTCAAGACAGCCTGGGTGGCACAATCAAAGAAGAAGTTTAGCAGATCTTTGCCTGTCTTTGCGCAGATGCATAGTGTTTTGTGTGTGTGTGTGTGTGGCTGGGTGGTGTGTGTGTGTGGGTCGAACCTTCATGTCGGCAAGTCACCACGCACTGCATGCAACATGCACTGCCTGATACAGCAACTAAATGAAAGGAGCCTCCACTTGAGATCCTCCACCGTACGGACCGGGGAAGGGTGAGCCCTGGCAATCATCGAAGGTGCATGTACCGGTCTGGTCTGCATCAATCATGTGGGATTATTCCAGATTTTGTCGACCTACTCAGACTCATCAAAGGCAGTCTCCTCATTTAGAACCACTTCCCATGTGTCAGGATGATTCACTCCGTGAGGTCGGGCACCGCTATGGACCCTGACTTTCTTGGCAAGTCAGCGCAACATCACATGGTAGACGTGGTACGAGTAAGACCCCGACTACACATGACTCATGCCGCGTCAGCACCAAAATTTCGAAAGCGTTTGCTGCCTCCGATTCTGAGTGGCGCTGATCCTCGAAAGCAGAGGCTCCATCTGACCTGGTCGGCAGAGTGAGCAGCAAGAATGGCCAAGGCAGAGGTGGGCAGGAGAGGTTCTAGTGACTCTAGCAATGCCCTTACTCGTGCGGGACGTGCTCGTGCTGGGCGGCCCTGCCCGGGCTCACCGCAGGAGTCGCTCCCGGAGGGCTGCGAGGAGTTGAGGCGCTCGGAGGCCGTGGACAGCTCCGACATGGGGGAGGGCAGGTGCCAGGGCCTCAGCGCCAATGCACCCATGATCACCCATGGATTCCCTAGATCCGCGAAACAGCTCACAAAGCGCCACAAACCACTGCTGCAAGTAGTCTACTGTTTGCGGCCCCGCTGCGAGGATCCCCGGCTGCCGCCGCGGCTCGCACGCCCGGGGCCAAGCCCGCTTGCACCGCTGCCACCTGCGAAGGTCTGCGGCTGATTTTTGCGTACCTTGCAGTGCCTCTCGCCCTAAACCCTAAACCCGAAACCGTGCACCATATAATAGCCCTGATTGCAGTTTCAAAGCCGGGCCTCGCAGCGGCCCGGAGGCAGGACGGCCGGAGCCAAGGCTGGGCCCAGCGGCTGTCGAGGCCAAGGAGCCTGGCTCTCTCGACTTTTTCCTCGATTCTCTCACCGTTCCGCGCGAGCGCGCGCGTGCCCCCGTTTTTGTTGGGGTGCCGGGGGGGTCTTTGCCATCATGGACACGAACCTCGATTCTGGGTGCAGCTCTCTGTTCTCCTAAACTGGAAAGGCACTTTCGGGCCCTGGCTTCTACGACATGCTGATGCTCTGTGCGCAACAGTCACATCGGCAGGGGCAATTTCCATTCTATTGAGACAGGTCTCCCAGCCGTAGGTTTGGCTGGGAACGCGGGGGACCCCGTGGCTGCGCCAGTCCAAAGCTCCATCTGGGGCTGCAGAAAACCCGCCGAGGGGTGGTAAGTAAGACACAATAAGGATCCCCATCCTCCATGTGCTGCTGGTTTGGCATTAGTCAAAAAGTATCATCATCATCATCATCATCATCATCATCATCATCATCATCGTCATCATCGTCATCATCGTCATCGTCATCATCATCGTCATCGTCATCTTCATCGTCATCATGACCATCATCATCGTCGTCGTCGCCATCATCATCATCGCCATCATCATGACCATCATCAGCATCACCACCACTCTACAGATGTTGAGAACATCTACAGCAAGTCTAAAACCATCGAAAAGGCAACTCTTTGACGGCATGACCGTGAGGTGAAGTCGTTGGAGCAGTTCCTGCAGCTGCGACTGAAGGTTGTGGCACAGCTCTTGGTGGCCTAGGCAGCCTATGAGTTCGGTCCTCCGAGATTCGGCCGCCCGCCAGAAAGCCGAAGGTCGCTTGGCAGGTTCTGAGGGCAGCGATACAATGACGCCAGGAGGCACAGATGATAAGAATTACCGAGAGGGCTCCACAAAGGTACCAGAAAAGTATGTTCCTTTCCCCAAAACCCAGAGTTCGGAACTTGGCCGATCCTGGTGCTAGACCTCTGTCCCGAGCCTTCAGCAAGGGTGATGCCACCGTCCGCTGCATTGCGTGCCGGCCGGTGGGGGTTGACCCTGCAGCAAGAGGGGACACCTGCTTGACTTGAAGGAGCTCAGAATCTAGGCTCGGCCTGTGGACGAAGCCGAGGAGCAGAAGGACGCTCCGGCACTCGCCTCCACAAGGTCTCGAGGGGTGGACCCTACCGGCTTTACCACTGGCGGTCATGCAGTCATGTCAGTCATTCGGTCATGAGCCATAAAAAGACTCACCGTGGAAGGAGCGCTTTGCCAACGGCAACATGTCAAAACGCTAAGGCCTTGGGCGGGCTTGCCCCACCAAAGTCAGCAGCCTCGGTGTCCATCAGAAATACAAACTGTCGGGAGTTGTAACCCTAAACCCTAAACCCTAAACGACGGCCTACATCTCGGCATCTCGGAATCTTTGGGATGTACCTTAAGGAGGTCTTCCCAGCCTCGCTGGTCTCAGTGGAGCTGCGCCGCTTCCGTTCTTCCGCCTCTCATGCTACCAGGGAGGGCGTTTCGGGAGATGGTTCCGTGGAGCCGACTACGAGACTGCGAGACATGCGACTTTCGAGGGACAACTCCGGAACAGTCCAGCCGAGCCAGGCCACTAAACCCTAAACCCTAAACCCTTTTGAAATGCACCTGCGGCTCGAAACTTTGCAGCGTTTCCAGATGGACAGAGCCTTGGGGCCCTGTGCCCCACCGGGAGAAGGAGTCAAGAGTAGCTGGTTGGAACAAGTAACGACAGCAAGACATCGTCAAAACGAAAGCCAACACAGCAAATCACCTTTAAGACCCTACCTGAGAAGGGGGGGGTTACGAAAGTAGGGGGGGACCCCGTTAAAATAGAACCCCCAAGTAAGGACCCCAATAAGGAACCCGAGTTTCGACAATTCCCCGCCATCTCCATGAAGGAGCTGAAGAAGCGCTCCGACATCTTGTCGATTGGCGGGCGATAGCTCTCTGCCTATCACACCGGAGCACGAGACAGTGAAGTGAACCTGCTGCAATGACAGCAAGCTACCGGCACCGTTGCTGAAGTGAACCTACCAGATGTGAGAAGTACAGTAGCTGGGGTGCCAACTGGATTGTCATCAGGCAAAGGTATGCCTTGAAACAATCAGCGCTTTCACGTCCGCCGCAACAGGGAAACCAACAACTCAACACATGAGAGAGCACTAAGACACCAAAACATACTAGAATGCCGAAAATCCTGAAACCCTAAACCCGAAAGCCCTGAAACCCTGAAACCCGAAAACCCCAAAACCCTAAAACCCGAAGACCCTAAACCCTAAGACCCTAAAAAAAAACACCCTAAGACGACCTTCGGCCGCCTGACTCTTCATGGGCCCCACCCCAAAGTAGGGGCTAGGGTTATGAATAAGGTCCCTGTTTAAGAGAGCCAGAAGAGGGTTCAGAAGGGTTTGGGGTTTAGGGTTGAGGGTTTAGGGTTTAGGGTTTAGGGTTTGGGGTTTGGGGTTTAGGGTTTAGGGACCCCACCCCAAGGGCCCAGGGCCCAGGCCCATGCAGAGGTGACCCCAGAGTCCACGCAGCGCAGCCTTCGGAACCTTCGCGTCCTCAGAGGTCCGCACACATGAAGAGCCTTGCCCACACCCTAAACCCTAAACCCTGAACCCTGAACCCTAAACCCTCTTCTCACCTTTGCCCAAACAGGTTGCATCTGCCATGTAGCGTTTACGTGGCATCCCCAAGCTCTACCAAAGTCTTGGTTGCCGGCTGAGCCTGCTCCTCGCGATGCGCTAAGGCTGCTAAGGGGTGGGGGGGTACTTCTCCGAAAGCGGCGACGCGCGCGTGCGCGCGCGCACCACATCCCGAGCTAGCGCCACGAGCAAGCTCTCCAAGCTCAGTCTCAGCCAGCCTGCCAGCTCGGCGCTCTTGCTCTGGCCTCGAAACACGCAGTGCAACCGAAAGGACTTCTCATGCCGCGTGCCATATGTGCAGCCGTCCCATGTCCCCAAGGCTTCACGCCCATGCTGTCCCGCGTGCTCGCAGGAGCACTCTGAGGATGCTCCTCCTCGAGGCCTTCCCAGTGGCAGGGTCTGTTTAGGGTTTAGGGTTTAGGGTTTAGGGTTTAGGGTTTAGGGTTTAGGATTCAGGGTTTAGGGTTAGGGGTTAGGGTATGCCCTTTAGGTTACCTCAGTGATGCATGTCCCCCCGCTGTGAACAGCCTGGGCCCATCTTCTTCTCGTCACAGGTACGTGCAGAGCCGCCCCCGGTCCCCTCCTGAGATGCAGGAGGAACCGAGGTAGAGACGCAATGAGCCCGTCGTCAGCTCTGAAGAACAACAATAAAACAGGAACACCCGAAAAAAAGGGAAGAAAGCTCTGAGGGCCCGACAGCTACCTCCCCGCTCCCGGGAGCAGGTCTCAGCTTTGCAGAGGGCAGAAGGGGAACCACCCCAGACCTGGGATGGCGAAGTGAAGACTCTGATTGCCCAAGATTGCCCCATGCTTCATGCTTAGGCGCTATAGGCAGAGAAACTGTCACTTACCATCACTCTTTCTTTCTTTCTTGGGGGCGTGGGGGGCGAACCCCCTGGCTGTGCCATCACTCTCTCTCTCTCTCTCGCTCTTCTTCCGGCCCGCACAGCCAGTCACTTTGCGATTGATGGAAGCTGAGAGAACCACGCTGGCTCTGCCAACCGACCTTGGGGCACGACCATGGCAGCTTGTCAATTTTACTCTTTTCAACTAATCCCTAAACCCTAAGCCCTAAAACCTGAACCCTGAACCCTTTCTGAGTTCAGAGCTAGGTGGCACAGCCTGGACAGCGAAAAACACCGCCCAATCCAAGTGTTCTGTGTCCGACGGCTGTCAGGATCTCTGCATGTTTGGATCTGGTTGGTTGCAGCTCTGGCTGACACATAACATAAGCCCTATTGCGCCTGCTTGAAAGATGGCACAGGGCGATCTAGAGCTGGTCGCCAGTCTGGGTCGTAGTGGTAGCCCATGATGAACGGGTGCTCCGACGCCTCTCTGAACACCGCACGTGCCAGTTCTTGGTGAAGGACGGTGAAGGAGTACGGGGTTCAGGGTTCAGGGTTTAGGGTAGAACTGTAGCCGCCTGCATGGGCGTCCAGCGATAGTCCGGGTTGAGCTGCAGAAGACCTCCCGGGCTGAGCAGGTCTCTCGCGCGCTCTGCAGTAGAAGGATCACCATTGTGGAAGCTCAGCCCCATTGACCTGTAAGGAACTGGAGGAAGGACAGGCGCCGATCCTGCTCCTGCCCGAGCTGGCTACTAGTACACCATCTCAAAAAAACACACTGTTTCTTGTCCACTCCCTTGTTACATAATTTGCCGGTCTCACTTCAAAACTTAGCTTGCAGCGGCCTATACAATGAGCCTGCACCCAGCCTCCTTCAGGCTGCGGCGGCCGAGGTTGCTGCGGAAGGGCACCATGTTCACCATCTCCTCAAGCCTCGGACCCTAGACCCTAGACCCTAGACTCTAAACCCTAAACCCTAAGCCCGAAACCCTAAACCCAAAACCCTAAACTCTAAACCCACTACTAAGTGAGCTTCATAGTTTCACAGGTCATCGGAGCTTCGAGGACTTCGCCACCCTCTCAAGCCCTCGGCGAGCAGAAGTTGAAGTACTTCTTCGGAACGGGCTCCTTCTTGTGCTCGTCGCGCTCGTACTCCTCCTCGCGCCGAATCTCGTCATGAAAGAAGCGTCACGCTGCGATTGGTGCTGAGGTGCTGCTTGTACACAGGTCCAAGTGTACATAATACATAGTGTAACTAGCCGACCTTGCGATGCCAAACGGACGTTGGACTCCCCCACTTAAGTCCATGTCTGATGATCATGCAGCAGATAGGCACAGAGAACTCCAAGACGCTTCAATCCTTTGTTTTCAAGCGCCAGGCGGTCTGGCGCTTGGACTTTTGCCTGCACCGGGCGTGTACAACGAAACTGGCATCCACCAAAACAATAGCAGATCTGCCCAAGAACCGATTGAAGCACGGAGTCACATAGAGCCAGCGCCATGAGGCTTTAACTAAAGTGGCCTCGGGAGTTTCCGCTTGAGCTCCGCATGAGCGCAGGCAGCGTCACTGAAACCTTCTGCACAGCACTGGGAGATTGGCCGCTGTCCATGTTAGTCTTTAAAACAAACACGGACGGTTTCTTGTCAATTTTGGTCTCGAAATGATCTCGAGACTCATCGGTACGATGGTGCTCTCCCTTCCATTCGCTCAGAGATACGCGCAGCAAAGGCCCATGGTCTGCCCTGGGTGCATGACTCGATGCTTCCTTTTCGCTGGCCTCCCAGGGTCGTTGCCCATCAAGCTGCTCTGACTGAGGCTTAGCTGCGTCATTCGCCACAACGGTATTCTTTACAGCGTTGCTGCATATGCGATGCACGTAGGACGGCAAAGTATTTAACCTGGCCAAATGCAGCACAAGTCTCTACCTGCCATTACCGTAACGGTAGCCTCTGTGGTGTCTCGCTCATCTCCCAGGCGGCGCCCTTCACGAAAAAAAGCTGGTCTTGAACAACGGCTGAACAAGCGAGCTAGCCCTGCGTCAGCTTGATGTTTCAATCGCGACTCTTGGCAACAGCACTGCACCTCCATGCACGCTGCCGCCATCCTCACAAGCAACGGGAACCATTGGGGCATGAATTGCCAGGCAAACGAAGCAGGTTTCACGAACTCCACAACTCCGACACTTCTTCTCCTGAGTTTCCAGGGCAGCGGAAGTGGCTGTCGAGGCTTCAGCCGTGGCATTCGGCTCAGGTGCATCCTTAGAGGATGGGAGCATTTTCGAAACATCTGGCAGTGAACCGCCGGCCCAGTGCGTTGCAAGACCTGTCTTGGCAAGACAGATGCTCATTATTTACGTAAGCTGAAGAATGCGGCAAAAGCTGTGAGGTGCTGATAATAAGAAAGTAGTAGTAGTAGTAGTAGTAGTAGTAGTAGTAGTAGTAGTAGTAGTAGTAGTAGTAGTAGTAGTAGTAGTAGTAGTAGTAGTAGTAGTAGTAGTAGTAGTAGTAGTAGTAGTAGTAGTAGTAGTAGTAGTAGTAGTAGTAGTAGTAGTAGTAGTAGTAGTAGTAGTAGTAGTAGTAGTAGTAGTAGTAGTAGTAGTACTAGTAGTAGTAGTAGTAGTAGTAGTAGTAGTAGTAGTAGTAGTAGTAGTAGTAGTAGTAGTAGTAGTAGTAGTAGTAGTAGTACAAATAATCATAAAAATCAACATCATTATCATCCAAGGTCATAAGAATAAACAGAAGAAGAAGAATAGAAGGTGTGTCACATGTCTGTCTGCCCACAAAGTCGGAGGAGAACTGGCTCAGTGCTTCAGAGAGGCGGATGCACAGGGCTTGTCTGTCTCCACATTTCCCATCCCTTCCCATCCTCAGTCTGACTCAGCTCAGCAGTCACAATGCACGCACAACTCACCCAAAACCCTAAACTTGGCCCTAAACCCGAAAACCCGAAACCCTAAACCCTAAACCCTAAACCCTAAACCCTAAACCCTAAACCCTAAACCCTGAGGCGTCCTGCCTAAGCGATGCCTCAGGAGGTCCAGGAAGCTGCCACTCTTGGAGGCCGCCTTCCGAAAGCAAAGAAGCGTTCTGCGCAAGACCCTGAGAGCTTCTCTTGGCCAAGCGCTGCCCCGAAGCCGGGGTTTAGGGTTTAGGGTTTAGGGTTTAGGGTTTAGGGTTTAGGGTTTAGGGTTTAGGGCTTAGAGTTTAGGGTTTACATGCGAGACTCCAGGTCTTCTAGATTCTAGACCCTGTCATCCTGCACGCATCGCATGAGTGCATGAGTTGGGCCTTGCGAGTCGAGATAACGGGTGGTGGGTGCGCATCCTTCATGGACGGATCTGTCGTCCACTGGCCTGTCCACACTGAGCATTACATCGGGGTTTACGAACCCAATAAAGTCCCCAAATAGTAGGATTCCTTTTTTCTAAGGACCCCAAAAAAAAGGCACCCCCCTATTTTCGCAAACCCCCACATGTCTGAACGGCGCACTCGGTGGTACTGGGTGGTAGGGGGTAACTCTGCGCTGCGCATGGGGTTTAGGGTTTAGGGTTTAGGGTTCAGGGTTTAGGGTTTAGGGTTTAGGGTTTTTAGGGCCTAGGGTTTCACCAGATGTGTGTGGCAAGGTCGTCTGTCAGGGCCTTCAGGGGGCGTAGAAGATGCGGCATCTGGTGCAATGTAGTACCAACCACCAGTGTCGATGCAGGCATTGATCTTCCACCTTAGCAGGCAGTGGTTTAGGGTTTAGGGTTTAGGGTTTAGGAATGCAGGTGCTGCTTGTCAGATCCCTCCTTCTCAGCACATGCAGGCACACGACTGGCACAGGGAAAGCTAGGCATGACTGTGCCGGCTATTCTCAGTCTGCTGGTGCACAAGCATGAGTTCTTGCCGTTACTGCATGCTTGCATGTGTGTACTAGAATTCAACTGCTGCTTAGACTGGTGTTTATGTTGGATTTGACTTGAGCTCAAGGTTGCAGATGAGACGCGATTCGTCGAAGTAAATTATGGCGTTGCCGCCGATTTTTTTGTACCTAGGCTCGGAGGCAAGATGGGAGCATCTGTGCGTCACACTTGCTTCGAAAGGGACAGTTGCGCAAACTGGGCCTGTAGGCACTGCGGCCGCATCGAACCGAACCGGAATCATCGAAACACTGCAGCGAGGAGGAAGAAATATGCGGAGAGCAGCTGCAGGATGTAGGTTCTAGTTGGCCCTGCTCTAATCTCTACTGACTCCTTAGACCGAATTTCAATCAAGGACCCCGAAACGACTAGAGTCATATCCTAACTGGCGGCACAACCCCATGCCATGAGCGACCAAGCTTTTGCCTTATGACTTCCATGACATGCCTACTCAGTGCGCAAAACGCATGCATGCACAGCCATGGCGCATTGGCTTGTCGTTGTGGTCACCCACCTCCGAGCCAATGCTGCACCAAGCTGTATATTATATGCGAACTTGCACTGAAGCTGAAGTGACAGAAAGTAGGCAACCGGCTGACGTCTCTGAACAAAAGGCTTAGCGCGGCGGCGAATTCACGAGCTCTTGCACTGCATGGGAACATGGTCTCTTGCTCAAACCACACTCAGCTAGCCTTGCGGTACTCACCGTTGCAAATGCTACCTCATTTCAAGCGAGTCATGTTCGAGATTTCTCTGCGCCGAAAAGCCCACGAGCACGCAAAAAAAACGATAAGCTGTGGACCATCCCCTCCAGCACCAGAGACCACGCAGAAAGAGTCCTCACTGCAGGCACGCGGCATGAGCAATGCGGTGCATCAGGTCTTGCCGGATGAGTTCAACTAGGACGAACCCTTCTTCTACTGCATCATGCTTTCGTTCTGTCATGTCTCCAATGTTCACGTCCGCCTTTTTTCAACCAAATTTGATACCAACCGTTTGTTAAATTCAGTCGTTTCATTCAGGATGTGGACGAACTTCACATGGCCTGAGTCTGGGGATGGCCTCTGCAATGAGAGGGGACTACCTAGGAACTTCCGGCCCGAGACGAAGCTAAATCTCTGCCTTTGCACGCCACGGAATCGCGTGTCAGCTATGCTACGACTCTGTTGGGATCAGGCACAGATTTGAACAGCACATATCGCAACTCTACAAGGTGAGGCGAAACATAGGGAAACCATGGAAATCCTCTGAATCATTGCCAAGGTGCTTCGCCCTTGGGGCTCATGGCTTTTTGCTCCGGGCTTTTGGACTTTGGCAGCTCCTGGACTTCATGTTGGACCCGATGCGCACGCATGCGCCACTCATGCGCCACGCATGCGCCGCGCCGTCTCTGCAGCTCAGCCAGGCTGCGTTGGGATCTTCGTGTGCGCGCTTCGCATCTTCGTCAGCCAAACCGCCTCCAAACAGGACACGGGGACTGAGCAGCTGCCGGGCAGGACGCTGCCATGGACAAGAGAGAAAGGATGGGAAAGGATGGGACCGGAGTGTGGAAAGGATGGGACAGGAGTGGAGTGTAAGGGATCTCCCGGCCTTGCGAGCTGGACTGCGCCTCCCCCTCACGCGGATCCTGTGCCTTTGAGACAGCACATTCTCGCAATCCATCGCGGCTTCCAAAGCACAACAATAATAACAATAACAATAACAATAATGATAATGATAATGATAATGATACTTGAAATAATCATAATCATAACTAGAATCACCATGATAATCATAATAAGCATCATAATCATTGTGATAATAGTAATAACAAGAATACTGATACAGAAGAATAATCATAATAGTACTAATAATAATAGTAATACTAACAGCATTATACTAAGAATAATAATAATTATAATGATATTGATAAGCATAATAGTAATTATAATAATAATACTACAGAATAATATTCATAGCAACAATAATAATAATAATAATGGTCATAATCGTACTAATACTACTACCAACAGTAAAAATCATAATAATAGTCCTCGAACGTGTTGGTTCGACTCGGACCTTTAAGACCTTGTGTGTACCTGGGCGTAAGCTTCCTGAAACCACTCTGTCCTGAGAGTGGTCTTCGCTGCTGGCACCTGCAAAAGCTATGACAGGCTTCCGGGATCGAAATCGGGGTTTCCAAGAGGTGCAAAGTCTCACACCCAGGACCGCAAGAGTAAGCATGCAGCTTCAACCCGAGCAATCCACCTTCAGCTCCGTCCTCCTTGTCCACCTGGGGCGCCACGGCTTCCTGGCGACGCGGGACCCAAGCAAAACGTTTGGCTGCTTCGATTCCTCTCGTGGCACGTTCCTGCCCGGGCTATGATACCCTATAACCCCCTCAAAAAGGCCCTTTTTAGGGTTGGTTAGGGGGATTATATGGCCCCATGCTGGTTGTGGCACCTTCCGGAAGTATCTCCGAGTGTTGCGCCCAGCATCAAGAAGGCTCGAGGGAGGCAAGCGAAGCACCTGGGAACATGAGGATCTCGTACACTCCGGGTTCAGGGTTTAGGGTTTAGGGTTTAGGGTTCCGCAACTGCGGAAGAGGATAATAAGCATGTGAGACGGATTGCGGACCTGCTGCAGGCGTATTCGGGCACACAGACAAACCAATGTACGATGTACCTGTTGTGAGAATGGGCGTGCCATTGTCAGCCCGGGACCTCCACGATTCTGCAGACCTGCCGCGTCGATAATGAATGATAATGAAGGGCATGCGGGATCAAGCGATAGCATGGTTAGAAGAGTTCCTCAAAAACCCCACAAGGCACCTGGTTGTATTCGCTGTGCCCAGGGAAAACCGGCAGGCCCAGGAAAAGCTCCGCACAAATGCAGCCGAGGCCTGCGTTGGCCCTACTACACCTGGTACATTCTGGTCAAAATTTGGCTTAGGGTTTAAGGTTTAGGGCTTAGGGCTTAGGGTTTAGGGTTTAGGGTTAGGGTTAAGGGTTAAGGGTTAAGGGTTAAGGGTTAAGGGTTTAGGGTTTAGGGTTTAGGGTTTAGGGTTTAGGGTTTAGGGTTTAGGGTTTAGGGTTTAGGGTTTAGGGTTTAGGGTTTTAGGGTTTAGGGTTAGGGTTTAGGGTTAGGGTTTAGGGTTTAGGGTTTAGGGTTAGGGTTTAGGGTTTAGGGTTTAGGGTTAGGGTTTAGGGTTTAGGGTTTAGGGTTAGGGTTGTTAGGGTTTAGGGTTTAGGGTTTAGGGTTTAGGGTTTAGGGTTTGGGTTTAGGGTTTAGGGTTTAGGGTTTAAGGGTTTAGGGTTAGGGTTTTAGGGTAGGGTTTCGGGTTTAGGGTTTAGGGTTTAGGGTTTTTAGGGTTTAGGGTTTAGGGTTTAGGGTTTAGGGTTTGGGTTTAGGGTTTAGGGTTTAGGGTTTAGGGTTTAGGGTTTAGGGTTTAGGGTTTAGGGTTTAGGGTTTAGGTTTAGGTTTTTAGGGTTTAGGGTTTAGGGTTAGGGTTTAGGGTTTAGGGTTTAGGGTTAGGGTTTAGGGTTTTTTTAGGGTTTAGGGTTTAGGGTAGGGTTAGGGTTTAGGGTTTTTAGGGTTTAGGGTTTAGGGTTTAGGGTTAGGGTTTAGGGTTAGGGTTTAGGGTTTAGGGTTTAGGGTTTAGGGTTTAGGGTTTAGGGTTTAGGGTTTAGGGTTTAGGGTTTAGGGTTTAGGGTTTAGGGTTTAGGGTTTAGGGTTTAGGGTTTAGGGTTTAGGGTTTAGGGTTTAGGGTTTAGGGTTTGGGCGTCTTTGCTATCATTCGAAACGCCTAGAGAGACCATCATTCAAGAGCAGCCATAGTCTAGAAAGCCGACCACATTGCTTTTTACCTGAAACCGCCGCGATGTACGATCAAGCCTGCGCCAGCAAGAGCGTGCATGCCATAAGCTGTGGCTGGGCTTGGGTCAGGACTCCACATGTCAATGGCACTGGTGTAGGGCACTCCAAGTAGAACCTGCGCAAAGCTGCCATGGCCAGTATGCCGCGGCACTTCTCACGACCCCAAGTTATGCTTACAACTCTAGCTCCCAGGGCCTCAGGTGATCTGTAGAAGCGGGACTGGATGTATGGATACACCTTGGAAGCTTCCGCGGTCCAGCAAGCGCGCGCACACACCTGCACCTCGTGCTCTTGCGCCGAGCTGGGCTGCTCGCCGTGTGGCTCTCGAAGCAAGCAGATCCAAAGTCGATCAGCTTGATCCGAGTGTGGTGGATGTTGCCTCGTCCATCTACAGCTGCAAAACGGGGATAAAGGGAAGACTGGAGGCCTCGAAGCAGACTTGTTGCCCAATAAAGCCCACATGCTGAGGCGATCGCTGAGAAGCACGTTCTCAGGCTTTAAATCGCAGTGGATGACGGAAGCCTGCATTCTGGAGTCCGTGGCAACGTAGGCTGAGCCCCACAACTTCCCAGAGTTCGTATTGTGGGAATTGCAGAAGGCACCGCTCTCGGGATCCTCGAATTCTTGGGCCCCTGCGTCCCGCAAGCAACGTAAGGCCTGGGGGATCAAGTCAAAAGATCATGGAAGCTCGTAAACCCTAAACCCTTACCCCTAAGCCCTAAACCCTAAACCCTAAACCCTAAACCCTAAACCCTAAACCCTAAACCCTAAACCCTAAACCCTAAAGCAAAACAGCAGCCGCGGGCTGCTCATGCCAATCCTACCGCCCTGCACGCTTGCTTCCCCCGCCGCCCTGAAGACAGAGCCGTCATTCCCCCCAAAACATCCTCAAATCCCCAAACCCAAAACCCTAAACCCTATGCTCAACCCACAAGACCGACACCCACATCGACACTCGGCCAGGCCTTGAGAAGCTGATCTGTGAGCACGCGGATCAAAGCCATGGACCTCACCAACCGAAATAGCGCCACGCGTCACAGGGCGTAGAGGAAAGTGTAGGATCATCAAGGGTTGAAATGTCGAGTGTCGGCTTTTGGGTGCAGGGTACAAGGAGATGAACGCGTCAGCAGGGCATCACTCCTAAGCATGGCTGGAATTTGGGGCACTGGGCGCTCGGCACACCACGGAATGAATTCTGTTTCAGCACCTCATAGAGGTTCACGCCTCAGGACATTCGAGTGATGGTCGGCGAACGCCATGCTACGAGCAGAAGCCAAAATCTGTCCTCCTTGCCATATTTGATGTTCATCCGCAAACCTACCATCAACCTAAACGGCGCGCAAGTTCTCCATGTCTCAGGCAAGCCCCGGACATGTCCCTTCCAATCATAAGGTACGCAAGGCCAACCAGCAACGGACTGCGCAAAATGAATCTCGAGCAAGTTCATGGGCATCAATTTCAGGTTCACTGCAAATCGAAGGTGAGCCAAAACCTGACAGTTTCATTCTGAGACCCTGGCTGAGCAGTTCGAAAGCAATGCACAAGTGCTTTCTGTAAACAAAGAAGTCCAGCATCCTCACAATCCTCGAGTGGGGCACAGCTGCGAAAGCTGCCACTGGGGACAATTTGTTGCTGCAGCTCTGACCAATTTCTCGGGGCTGATAGCCATTTTGCCACTATGGGCGAAAGGATGTACCCTAAACCCTAAACCCTAAACCCTGAATTGGCGTTCTGAACCTCTTCCGGGTCATTGCAGGGACCCCTTGCATCTCAGCACACTGCCGCTTGTCGTCATCAGGGTCAAACTCCTAGCAAGGAGCTTGCACTCTCGTGAGACTTGTGGCCCCTCGACATGGGAAGTGTATTGATGTTCCATGATCGTCCTGATTCAGCATCTGCAGAATGCGGACTTCCACTAGCGCCTGAAGAGGTCCGCCGCTGTTTTTTTCGGGAACGGGCCATCGAAGTAGAGAGCATGGGCATTGAGGCACTGGCTTGATGGAAGTAGGCTGGTTTGTTCTTGATGATCTTTAAAGCCTTGGATGTCTTTGCACCATGCCTGCAATGCCGATGCAGGGTTCGGCAGATTCCAAAGAATCTCTCGCACTGCTTAGGCTGAGGACGGGACCACATGACTGTTTGAAGTCGAATGATGAGTCTTCAAGACCTGCCGCTGTCTACGTCCGACGACTGAGACAAGTCAGCCCTAGCGACAGACACAATTCACCGCACGAACGGTTCATTTACAGATTGCAGACCTGACTTTAAACACCGACACCACTACCCAACTTGTGTCTCGTGTGATGACGCCACCTCCTGGCCTTACTGTTTCTAATGTGGCAGTGCTTGTTACATGGGGGCTTCCGAAAAAATGAGGGGGCACCTTATTGGGGTCCTTATTACAAGGGACTCCTACAATTTGGGGGGGGGGGGTTTTGTTTAGGCCCTTATGTTCGTAAACCCTTCCCCCTTTTTGGGGTGGGGGGGGGGTCCCTTCAATTCGGATTCTACTCTGGGGGTATGAAGGGGGACCCCCTAAACCCTAAACCCATATCCCAGCCTGGCCGAAAGTGCCATGTCCCAACCGCTCAAGGATTTCGTAGGCATGGCCGTCGGGGTTCACGATTTTGTCCCCGACCTTAGGGGACACGATGAGGGGGACGGGTTTAGGGTTTAGGGTTTAGGGTTTAGGGTTTAGGGTTTAGGGTTTAGGGTTTAGGGTTTAGGGTTTAGGGTTTAGGGTTTAGGGTTTAGGGTTTGGGGTTTAGGGCTTAGGGTTTAGGGTTTAGGGTTGAGATTTTAGGACCCTTGGGGATTAGACCCTCAAGGTTCCGGTTTACGAGAGCCAGAAGAGGGTTCTGAAGGGTTCCATTTAAAAAGGGTCCCCCTTGTCCTACCTCGGAGACATGTGCCACTCAAACCCAACTCAATGAATCAACTTATGCCACTCCGCACTGCTGGTCCGAACCTCGTAACAAATGAGAACTTAGGAACGAGGGAACGAGGGGAGCAAGCAGTCCATCAGAAAGCTTCCGAAACCCTAAACCCTAAACCCTGAACCCTAAACCCTAAACCTCCCTAGCGGCTGCATCCGCGGCACTCTGCAAATGTAGTCGTGTTCAGCGTTGTCAAAGTTGTCATTGTAAACGCCTGGCGGGTGCAAGGCACTCACTCAGATAATGTGTGTTGGAATGGTCATGCTCTCACAAGAATCGAAACACACACACACACACACACACACAAACACATGCCCTGCCTTTTGAAAGCTTCGTCAGAACGCGTTTGGGGGCCGTGTTGTCACTGTACACAAAGTCCGTGGAGCACTGCTGGTAGGTGGTCTGGCAATGCATGCCACAATGACCAAAACAGAAGTTGACGGTACATTGGCGTGAGGACGCTGCCGCACGAGGGCTGTCATGCTGCTTTGCATCTTTCTTCGTGCATTTGGGCGTGACAAAAAGAATCCAACAGGCCAGCAGCCACAATGAGATCCACCGTCAGACTTTTCAGCAGATCGCCATGACGAGGCTCCTTCAAGAAAGTGAACCCTCAACCCTGGACCCCAAACCCCGATCGGATCAAACCATCACAACAAGACAAGTAGAAGAAGAATCGCTGTCTCCTCGCGTCTTTCTCGTGCAACACTCGGGGGAGGTCGAAAATTCTTTGGCTCGAGGAAAAGGGCCATTGCCTGCAACGAACCAGAAGGGAACAACCAACAGTTGGAACAGGACCAATGGGCGCACTTGTGATGCTCCCCCTTATACTGACAGTCCTTAATTGGGAAACAAAAAGGGGGGGGATACCATAATACTCAGGATATTTAGGGTGCAAGCCACCGCATCGGCTGTCATGGCCCGGTTTTATCCGTTTGCCCCCCGAAGGCAGTACCTTCTTTCTTCATGAAGGCAACGATTTCTTCTCCTCAGAGCATAACGGCCTTCATGCGTTCGGGGTTTAGCGCTTATTTTCTTATTGATCCCCTTTTTTGTGATCTTTTTTTGTTGACCCCGATCCCCTCCAGTGGCCCCCCACCCTTGCCGGCACAAGAACCCTAAACCATAAACCCTAAACCCCAAACCCTAGGCACTTCGGGGCGTTGGCCCCCGAGTCCAGCGAGGCTGGCTGCGGAGTAGTCCGAGTTCCGACACGAAGTGTGTGCGAAGACGCATGTGTGTCTGGTGTATGTGCAAAGTGTACGTATGTATATATATATATATACATATATATGTCTATGTACGCAACAAGAAGGTAGAATTATGATACATGCACAATTCTCTCATTACAAAGAAGCGCACTATGAAGCAGAGACCTTGCAACTGAGCATCCTGGAAGCAAACCCTTCTGTTGACCTGGTCACAAAACCTTCTGATCTGGGCATCGTAACGCTAACCTCGGCGGCTTGTCTCAAGATATCCTGAACCCTGAACCCTAAGCCCTAAACCCATACCTTGAACCCGGAGCCCTAGACTCCTCCAGCAAACTCTTCACTTCACCGAGAGACTCAACTCGCTCAACCCTACCTGGCACTCTGCTCCTGTCTGCTTCCACATCTCGGGTCCAGCTTCACGGATCGGATTCCCACCGCATCGTACGTACTAGGCTTGCCAGAATTCACGGTTCAGGGCGATCCAGCGCACTTTAGAACCCCCGGAGCGGGATTGTAGGGATTGGGGCCTTAGGTAAGGACTGCATGGTAAGAGTCACACTAACTAGCCCTCTCTGACACCTGAAGCCACGCTGCGCCTGGGTGCCCAGTTTGGCACCCGACACCAGCCTGGTGGCCGCAGGGAGATACAAATGGCCCTGCTTCGGTTCTTGGTGCCCAACAAGTCGAGCTCTGGGGGTAATGACAGTTAGAAGATGTGGACACTAAATGGGAGAGACTGCGGGTCTCAAACTTCTTGTAGTCACTATTGGCAGTGTCAGGTCTTCCACAGTGTGATGACTGAGGTCTTGCTTGCAAATGGCTTCATATTTGGCTTCTGGCACAGTCCCGATTCTGCAATGTCGGCCTATGGAGCCGAGCTCCTACAGCTTCCTACTGGTAGCAACATGCGACACGCACGCCCAGGTACATTCCGTGCAGATCCAGCCTCTTTTTTCCCCGCACCACTGGATAAGGCCTGTCCAGCCTATTTTCGGTGTGGTGCAAGTGTAGATTCTAGATGGGATTTCTGCTATGGACCCCTCGCCCTAGCTTGGCGAAGAATTTCTTATATGTGCTTCATCATGTCTACTGCAACAGACTTGCAGCTTTTTGAGAGAGCAGCGATGCACGGTCACGATTGATTTGCAGTCACGAACTTGCTGTGAGCATGCTTCCCCAAAGCTGAGCTTGTCGCACTTGAAAAAGCTTCAAGCGCGCTTGCACGGCTCTACTTCGCACACCCAGATGCTAGATATTGATATCTGCTCCGACCTTTACAGACTAGGATTTTTGTGGACCCCGCAGCACCAAAGAGCGCTTTCCGCCAGCAGCCCGACTTGTTGTTGGCCGCCTGAGGGAGGCTCCATGCCTTGGAAGACGAAGGATCTTGCAGAGCATCGCGCAGCAGAGTCTCACCGTCTGCATAACCTGGCTCATCTGGCTCCCTGGGCCTCAAAACAGCGCTGCTTCCGTGCCAGGCAGAAGAGGTCGCCGTGTTTGAAGCTGGGTGTACCTCCCATGGTCTCAAGACTCTGCCTGTGGCCTTGGTCTTCCCTTTGTGCCGGTGTTTTAGACAAGCCACGTGCCCCTGGAGCGGAACGCCACAACCGCCACAGACAGCGCCGCGGCTGCACAGCAAAGCGCGGTCACCGCAGAAGTGACCTTCGCTTGTCTCTGCGCAAGGACACAAAACATGCGCACGCGGAGATAAAGAGGCACTCCCCCTTGCCATCACGAACGACGACAACTCACGAAAAAAACAATAAGGCCTACGGCATAATGTTGGTTTTGCGCCCGTAAGTTAAGATCAGGACAGCCCCAAAAAGACAAAATTTGGAAATGACTCCCTGGCTTTTCTAGAAAAGGTGCGCCGAAGCAGCTGCTCCCGAGGCAGATAGCTTGACCTCAAGTTCCACGTCTATACTGAGGGCTTAGGGTTTAGGGTTTAGGGTTTAGGGTTTGGGGTTTGGGGTTTAGGGTTTAGGGCCTAGGGTTTAGGGCCGCGAGAGAGGGGAGAGAGACCGCGCCTTGACGATGGGCTTCCGCATCGTAGAGACACCCAGCGAGGAGGTCGCTTAAAAGCAGGGAGCCCACAGAAGCAGCAGTGAAGGAGTAGCTGTACTTGACGGGCATCTCCTAATTCTTTCATCAGATGGTGAAGCTGGCAAGACGTACTTTAGGGAAACCTTGGGTAAACTCTGGGTAGACGTAGCCAGAACTAGCCCCCTGCTGCACACAAGCTTCAAGACGCGGCCCGCGCAGCTGGTGGAAGGAACTGTTGCTGACGTTCAGTCTGCAACCCGAATAAATATTCAATCAATACTGACTGTGCCGACCGTCCAGGCGAACGCCCCCCCTCTTCCTGTAAAACGAAGGTGGATGTAGCTGGTAGAGCCTGGTAGCGTGACGAAGGGGGGGCAGATCAGCTATTGCCGCACTATTCGTAGTCGTCAATGGACCGCTGTCATGGCATCCTCGTCGTTGTCGCAGCTCGACGTAGAGCAACTGGCAGCAATACTAGTAGCAGTAGCATTTGTCATTGCCGCAGTTGTCGCAGCAGCAGTTCTCGGTGCAGCATTATACGGGCAATACGACTAACTATGAGTAGAAGGGAGAAGAAACGCACATTCCTGAAGTCGCACACCGCCACACCAACAGCATGTGGCACAACAATCCTGCCTAGAGCCACGGTTTAGGGTTTAGGGTTTAGGGTTTAGGGTTTAGGGTTTAGGGTTTAGGGTTTAGGGTTTAGGGTTTAGGGTTCAGGGTTAGGGTTTAGGGTGTGCAGGAGGGTGACCCACGTTCGAAAAGCCCCCAGGCTGATCCCTCAAATGTTTTCATGGGACTGTAGGTCAACTGCGCGCGTCCTCCGGACCGAAGATCTCCTCAATGACCACCTCGGCCACCCGGCAAGTCTTTTCTTTTTGGACCCTATTGGGTTTAGGGCATTTAGGGTTTAGGGTTACATGTGTGTTTCTTAGCAGCTCCTCTTGATGGTGTGATGTCACCGAAAGCGCAAGCTCGTATGGCTTGGCAAGGCGGGAGGGGAGGAGGGGAGGTGGGGGGTGGCAACTCCCGACTTGCGAACACAACAGTTAGACAACGAAACGCGCTTTAGCGTTTAGGGTTTAGGGTTTAGGGTTTAGGGTTTAGGGTTTAGGGTTTAGGATGGCATCATATTCTTTGCACGTGTTTGTTAAAACCAGGGGTTGGTGGGTCACGAGGGCTTGGGAAGGGCTCGCACGACGGCCCAAACCCTAAGCCCTAAACTCTCGCGTAGTAGAGTTGACTTGAGATCGCATGTGAAGACATCTGTGTTTTCTGTGGTGCTGTGCATCGGTTTATGCATTGCAGTTCTTGCTGGTTGGATTTCAAGCCTTCAGCTGTTCTATCGCTGCTTAAAAAGTCCACATGTCTTTCTTCGTTCCTATTATTCCTTCCGTGTACTTCTGGCAACAAGCCAAGACCCAACCGCATCCAACCGCATAAGGCATGTTTTAAAATACAAAGAAGCACCTAAAGGCAAAAAGCGGAAAGCACAATCCGCAAAGAAAACGAAAAACACAGAGAGCAAACAATCACGGGGCAAAAGCAGCAGGCAACAAGCAGGAAGCAAAACGCAAGAAGCAAAAGACAAACAACAAAAATCAAAAGCAAAGGAAGAGTAGAAACAAAAACAGAAAACAGCCCCCCCCTGCCCCCGCCAAGAACAAAAAAGAAAATGTATATATAACAAAAAACAAACTAAACCCAAAATCCTATACCCTTATACCCTAGACCTTAAGCCCTGCGCCCTAAACCCTATTCTGTTCAGGCACCGCTTGCAGCGCAAATGTCCCTCCAAGAGCAAAGCCCACGGCTGCAGCACTGAAGCCGAGAAAATCCTGGACGGTAGGAGGGTTTGGGGTTCAGGGTTCAGGGTTCAGGGTTCAGGGTTTAGGGTTTAAGGTTTAGGGTTTTGGGTTTAGGGTTTCGGGTTTAGGGTTTAGGGTTTATAGGATTGCGTGAGCCGTGAATAATACCACTACCAGCACCTCCGCAACCGCTGCTGCTCTTGCGGCTGTAAGCTCCCAAACCCCAAACTATCGTGTTGCAAATGCCAAAATCTTCATCTTGCGCATGCACAGTGAGGCAATCGATCCACTTGAGCGGCCTCCATTTGATGCTCGCAGCACAGCTCCTGAAAGTTCTCGCGCCCTTGGCGCGTCCCCTTAAATGGCATAATCAGGCAGGCATACGGCGCTGTGCGGCCGGCTTGCTCTCGGACAAAAATGTAAACAAATCCTAAGCCAGCACAACAAGGAGCCATGCTGAAAAATGTGTCATCCTAGTGCTCCAACAGCCACGCAAGCAACGCTTCGTTGGGTGATCAACGGCCACTAATTTGGCCTTTGCTTCAAGACTACGAAGGTGTTGCTCCGGTGTCTTGGGTAGACTGCACTGCAAAAAAGCACTGCTTCCGTGGCTGCTTGGAACCTTGAGATCCCTCACTTTTCGCCGGAAGTGGCGGTACGAGTGAGACGCGTGCCATTGGAGTTCTGCTCACATTCTAACCATGTAGCTCTAAGACTCTAAAGAATTGTGCCAGCCTCGCAAGCAGCGCTTCCTTGCATGATCAATCACAACTGCTTCGCAACTTCCTGCAAGCAAGGTCTGCTTCTGTTCCTCGAACTCTACAAGAAAGCGCTGCTTCCGCTGCTGTCGCATAAGCGGGCGTCTAGCGTAGCTTCCTTGCACAGATGAGCAATGGTTGCTCACTCTGTTTCCTTGGGCTTGCGCATCTTTTCCCGAAGAGCTTTGAATGGTCTTCTCAGCATCCGCATCTGTGGGAGATATCTGAGCCTCGATTTCGAGAAGGCGCAGCAGTCGTTCAGGTCCAGAGTGAGGCCACAGATCATGAGAGATGCTGGGCCCTTGCCCTCCATGATGCATTCCATGACCTGCTGCTGCCATGAGTCCACCAGCTCTTCATTCTTGTAATGCTGCGTATCCTCATATCGTTCCCGAAGGACCTTCACAAGCCCAAGCAAGTTTGGATCAAGGCCAAGTCCACTTAGGGCGTTGACGAAGGATGCGAGCTGAATGAGCTCAGCACCGGTCCAGTCGTGCCAGGGCTTGTCTGAAACGAAACTCACCTGCGAGGTCTTCACCACCACCGAACCGATCGCAGCACATGCAAAGAGAAGGATGTAGACCATCTGTGAGAAGACCACATAGCCAAGACCAAGCAGGTGGAACCAACTTAGCCCACTGAGGTGCTTCATCAGCTCTTCCTTGTTTGTCGGCGGACGCTGCGACTTCTTCGGGGCCCCAGGGTCCTGTTGCTCTGCTAGCTTCTCCAAGACCTCAGTTGCGATGTCAGGCAACACGCAGATCCCAAAATGCAGAGACAACATGATCCTAATTCAGACAAGCAAGCGGCCTGCAAGTAATCAAAGACTGCCCCCTGAAGCTGGCTCCAAAGGACTGCGGGATTGGCATACGGCAAACTGGACAAGGCTGAAAATCGCGAGAGCCGTCGGACATTCTTGGCAAACTTGACGTAAGCAACCGAAGTGTCCGGCACGAGGCAAATCACAAGCAGCCAGAAGATGCACGCCAAAGCGAGCAAGCCGGCAAGTGGAGCTTCAAGCCAGGCCAACAAGTACTTTGACAAGTTTAGGTTTTTGCTCGGATCCCGCGGCGGCAACACCCAAGCTGAGTAGATCAGAGCACTTCCGTTGGCAAATGCTCGAAGAAGCACTTGGCAGCCACTAAATATCCGCCCCCCGGTGGGCTGGTTCGAGAAGTGCTTCTCCCATTTCTCCTTGTATTGTCCCAGGTCCAGGGGGTCTGGATTGCTCCACATGTCAAGAGCAATGACAGGGCACTGCAGCCCCATTGTGCCGAGCAAGATGCCCCAAACGATGCATCCCGCACTCAAGGCGCCGATGTACAGCTGGCCATTTGCCTCATCCCGGATCATCGTCAACGGCATCAGCCACCACAACCTACAATCGCCGGAAGAAATCTAAAGAGCAAAACCCAGTCTAGGCTTTCTACGGCCTAGATCCTCTGCATGCGTAGGGGGGGGGGGGGGAATGCAAGAGCCTCTGCCTGATGAAAAGGGATCATTCCTCCTGTGCTGTTCCACTCCTTTGATTCAGGCCTTAAGGTATCCTCATGTTCAATACTCAGAACTCCAAGCAACATAAGGACTCCCGGCAGAATGGAGCAGGCAAACACGGCCACCGTGGCCAGCATCGCTCCGATCATCTCAGACAGCCGGCAGCAGCACTTCATCATCCCGCCCAGTGCCGATTTCTCACTCTTCCTTAGGGCTCTCCATAGACATCGATGTGTAGGGAAGGCACGTGCCTCATCTTTGCCTTCGTGCTAAGGTGCCTCAGCCTCAAGGATTCTAGCAACCATAGATCGATAGATAGATCGATAGATAGATAGATCGATAGATAGAGATATGTATATACACATACATATTATATATATATATATGTAGCCGAAGTATGTGTGCGTCTATATACATATATATATATATGTATATATATTATGCTGTACATATTATAGAAGGCCCAGAAGGCGGAGCCAAGTCTCGGCTGCAAGCTCTTTGCCTGGCTCTCCACGTCAACTGGATCCGACATCTCTGGGGGGACTTCCTCTGAGTTTCTTCGACAAAGTGACAAGATCCTGCTCCGGATGCTGTGGGCCAAGGCTGTGTGGAAGACCAGCAGCGGTTCAGCGCTGCGCGCCATGCTGCCGCTGCGACTTCGACTGCTGCACCCCCACAACACCGTCCGAAGCCGAAGATCTCCCACCCGAACACCTTACAGGCCCTTACCCTCAAGTTCAGGGCCCTTTGAGGCCCCTTAAGGCCTTTTAGGGGGCCCTTAAGGGCCCTCCACCTTGAGACCCCTGGAGCCCGGCCTCACCCAGCTCGAGGAGCGCCAATCCCAGGGACATCAGCAGTGAGGCGCCCACCAGGAACCATGGCCGGTTCAAGGTCCCCTTCCTGATTTCGGGTTTAGGGTTTAGGGTTCAGGGTTTAGGGTTTTGGGTTCAGGAGGTTTGGGCTTTGGGCTCTGGGCTCCGGGCTTCGGGCTTCGGGCTTCGGGCTTCGGGCTTCGGGCTTTGGGCTTTGGGCTTTGGGCTTTGGGCTTTGGGCTTTTGGTTTTTTTTTTTTTTTGTGGGGGGGGGGGGGGGGGGGGAGGGGGTTTTGGTGCTATTTCGATGGTTTGGGGGCTTAGAGCATGTTTGTTGGAGCTTGGGGCTGCCAAAGTTGTACCAAATCTGCCAAGACTCAGGGATTCAGAGCCGAATCCGATGAAGACACGCCCAAACGTGTTGAAGATTGAGAAAATCCTTCACTCTAAGGTTTAGGGCTTAGGGTTTAGGGTTTAGGGTTTAGGGTTTCGGGTTTAGTCTTGCCGTGCTCTTCCCTCGTGCGCTCTTGGCTCGAGACTCCATGTGCAGCTTGAGGCGCGTGACATAGATGCCACTGGAGGCAGATGGGTTGTTTGAGACAGACTTCACGATCCTTGGTGTGCCAGCACCCTAAACCCTAAACCCTAAACCCTAAACCCTAAACCCTAAACCCTAAGGATTGTTTCGGTGGGACTCTGGCTTTCAAGGATTCAAGCCGAGGGTCTGTCCGAAGTTGTTGGAAAACATGATGCCAGAACCCTGGAGCGAGACGAAGGTGAAATACCTGAAGCACAGTGAGAACTGGCAGCTTGCCATCAAGGTGGCCATCTGTATGGGGAACTTGTGCTGCTGTTAACATCCAAGCCGTGGGCCTTCTTAACTGCCCCTCACCCGAACATCCGACATCCGAAGAGGGAGCCCATTTGTTGCCACAGCTTCTGCCGGTACTGGTGCTGGGATGCAAATAACAGCGGTTAGAAAGTGAAAACCGGCTACCCCAACAGAAGCGGCAGCTCAGCGACAAGAGGTAGAAATCCACGCAATGGAGCATCTCCCATGCGGACAGGTTTGGGCGCTCGATGCGATTCCTCAGCAAGTGGCTGGCTTACACTGGGACCCATAAACAATTGTCATCATAGGACGTTCACCGAGTCCCTCAGAGAAAAAGGACTCACCCTAAGACAATCGACACACTAGCTTCCAGCAACGCCAGCTGAACGGGGCTGAACGGCCCTACGATCTGGTTTATCGGGGCATGGGCTTCACCTCGGGCTTTCTAGTGCACAGTTGACGGTGGAAGGTAGGCAGTTGCTGTGCGCCAGCTTAAAATTACGGTCGAGGCCTATGGGTTTAGGGTTTAGGGTATAGGCCCTCTACACAAGGCGTCGCTAAGCTGTCAGCCTCGTTTCCACATTCCGCTTAGCGGCTGCCTCTGGCCCGCGGGCTCGAAACCATTTTGGCCGCCCTTGCAGGCGAGAGCGAAGAGGCCCCATGGCAGGAGGGCCACGACCTGAGAATTCAGAGCCGAGTCTTCAAGGCGGGTGGGGGGGGGGGGAAAAGGGGGGGGCAAGGGGTACAGTACTGGTTTCGGGTTTAGGGGTTTAGGGGTTTAGCGGCTCAGGGGCTTAGGGGCTCAGGGGCTTAGGGGCTTAGGGGCTTAGGGCTTAGGGCTTAGGGGCTTAGGGGCTTAGGGCTTAGGGCTTGGGGCTTAGGGCTTAGGTTGGGGTTTAGGGTTTAGGGCTTAGGGTTTAGGGTTTAGGGCTTAGGGTTTAGGGTGGAAGGTTGAGGGTTGTTTGGGTTGAGGGTTGAGGGTTGGTGACACTGGGCAATGCCAAACTCAAGGCTTCAGAGCCCGGAAAAATCCAGGCATCAAGTACTGAGCCCCTCACCAAGGCCACTGGCAGCGTATACGCTTTGTTATACGCAACCACGGCACAAAAGGCCGTGTACACCAGCAGTGCCACTGTCAGAACAGAGAACTTCTTGGACACCGTTTGGGCATCCTCCTGGCACAGCTGCAACATGCAACACACAAAACACCTGCACGCCAGAAACTATTGCCCCCCCCCCCCCCCCCCCCCAAGACCCTCCAAACGCAAGCCCTAAAAAAGTTTAAACGGCTTAGGGTTCAGGCTTGGGCTTTTAGGGTTAACCCTCGCACTCAAACCTCAAACTCGAGAGCAACAGGGCTGCCAGGGCTGGGCCCTGACTGGGCTCTTTTCACTTCAAACGATGACCAGACGTCCTTGTTTAGGTGTTTCTGAAACTAGGGGGTACCCTTTTTGGGGGGTCCTTTTAAGGGGAATCAATTCTATTTGGGGTCGAAAAAGGGGGTACCCCTATTTTTGGGAAGTACCCATATTGGAGCCTGCCTTTAAAAAAAAAAGGGGTTGGAGGGGGTCCTTGTCCGGGCTGTTTGTGCAGGCGATGAGAGGCACGCTGAAGGCCCCGATGCCCAAGGCCATGAAGGCAAGCCAGAGCGGGAAGGCATCGAGGTCTTCATCTGAGTAGACGCTGTAGAAAACCTCGGAAACCCTAAACCCTAAACCCTAAACCCTAAACCCGAAACCCACGCTATCGGCCGCTATTCGATAAAAGAGCACGGGCGAAGTCTCTGTTGCTGGCCACGCGGCGGTGCCGACAACTGCTGCCGTCAGTCCTTCAGCAACCGTTCAGTAGCTAAGATGCTGGCAGCAACAGGGCAGAAGGAAAAGTCATATTACAAGAAAAGTGCAACAGGGAGACTTCGTCTAAGTCGGACATGTGAGGGAAATCGTGGAAGGCGCAAGAAAGAGATCTTGCGGAGCGCAATGTTTGAAACAGGAGCTTCTCATGAAGCACACAGATACAAGCGGTTCCACTCAGTCCTTCCATTGCCTTCATGAGGCCCACAGCACTGCCTCCATGGACACTTGACATGCCATGGAATCTTCCCTGGGGGCCTTGGCCTTTGCCAGGGGGGGTTCCTTCAAATATGCAGCCACATAATGGGTAGTGCCAAGACTTAAGACTGCTACAAGCACGGCGTCTGCAAAGAGGCACATTCCCACGTTGCTTATCTTCCGCACTGCAGCATCGCTCGAGAGCTCGGGAGGACGGCGCGTCACCAGGGGCCATTAAGGGCAGCTTGTCATCAAGGCTTCATCAAGCTTTTGCAGAGATGCGCCTTTGTGCTCGGGAAAGTTTCGGACGCTGGTCGAGATGCCAGCATTGTCGCAGAATCCAAGGCTGTGGCCGAAGAGGCCAAAAAGGATGATCCTCGGTTTGCAAGCCCTAAACCCTAAACCCTAAACCCCAAACCCTAAACCCTGGAGCACGGCTTGAACAATTCGAAACCGCTAAAGGTGTGGCGCCACAGCGCCTGGCTTCTGCCCAGCAGCATTGCAGGAAATGGCACGCTGCCATTGCCTCACAAAGCTCAGGAGGGATGGGCGATGCGGCTCATGAGATTCAGCACCGGGTCATGGATAATCATGAATAAACAGCGAGCAACCTCTCTTAGAAGCATGAGCGCATCCAGGATGCCGATTGCAAGGTAGATGGCAACACACGTCAGAGTCAGCACCAGTGTGCCGCCAGCCACCGAGATGTGCGCCCCATATCGGTTGGTCACGAGGCCTGCATCCTTGCAATGAACTCCTGTGCCATGTGTCTACGAAGTTGTGTCGTATTGCACGTGGCTTTTGCAAAGGATGCCAAGGTGCCATGCAGATGAAGTTCCCCAGGTCCTCTCACGATGCAATCGGCTTGACTACCCTCGACTGACGATGTGCTTCGAAAACGCTTCGTCCTTGGCCAGTGCCAGGGTGTCCAGTTGCGCCTGATACAGCTGAACGCTGCCGGAGGCAGTGGCGAAAAGAACGATCAGATAAGAAAAATTGGGAAACGAGTCTTGAGAGACTCTGGCGTGCTGAATGCATCTCGCCACTGTCCGGCCTGCGAGTAACTGTAGGCTCGCTTGACAACAGGGCTCCACACACCAAACGTGTAGGTGAAGCCCGTGAGAAAGCATGTAAAGCTGCCTGAAGCAGCAAGATGCAGCAAGTTAGCAAAACAGGTGCACCCAGCTTTCCCCATCATGGAGTGCTTACTCACCAAGTGAAAGACAGCCTACATGCTGCCACTTGGTCTCCACTGAACCCCACCTGCGCAGAATGTCCACCAGGCGCCATTGCGAACCGTCCGCTCTTGGGCCACAGTCATTTGCTAGAGGCATGCGCGAAGCTTTATGACATTCTGAGCGTCAGTTTAAGGCTCTTTCGGCCGTTGCAAACTGCTCTAGCTGTTGTCTGCTAGCGGAAAAAGGCATGATAGCTGCTGGAATGTAAAGAAGTACTGTCTTGACAACCATGAAAAAGCCCGTCGAGAACAGCGTGTGAGAAGCGACATCATCACACAGATGGAGAAGCAACCGGAAGCAGCAAAAGCTTGCTTTGATCGTCAGCCTCCCGAAGTTTGGCGAAAGAAACAAAGGTAGTAGTGGCATCATCGGTCCCTACAATTGGGAATCAGCTAAGTCGGATGGCTTAGGGCTGCCAGAAGCCGTGCTTCCATCAACCGACCTAGCAAAGGGCAGCATCACGGGCCACTCAGATGCCCAGAGTTGGGCCTTTCTTGAACTGGAGCCACGCCTTGATTACTGGGGCTTTGCAGCAGCTATCTGTTTAGCTGATGCTGAAGAGCAGCTGAAGAGAATCGAGGTCGAGCTTCAGGAATGTTTGCAATTCATCCAGCTTGGGGGGGATGAGACTTCTGAGATCGCTTAAGTGCTTCAGGCCTGGATTCGTCGGGTGTTTTCGGTGCGGGTTGGACCACGAATAGAGCGCGACCGAGAAGCTGAGACAAAGAGGCCGAAGACCGTGATGGGCACGGTGCCTGTGGTGCGTTGCAGGAGAAAAGAACAACCCAAAAGACCTGTGGGCCGCAGAACTTTGAGGGCTTCTCGACTGGTTCTCTGAGTCTCTCTAGGTGGACATTGCGAGTGTGCTTGGTGGTGGAGTGCTGAGTGTGTCAGTGTTATGGATCTTGGGGCCCGTGCCCATGACGATGCCGAGCATGAGGGCTTCGACGGTGGCAGAGAGATTCAGGCTGGAGCCCATGTCCATCTGAACATCAGCGCAGACTCGACACCAAAATCTGAGCTGCCTCGGAACCTGGCCTCTGGCATGTCCACGGCCGCCTGAGCTGCGGCAGGGACGACAGCCGCCGTGATGGCAGCGGCAGGGATGCTTGCCTGCGGTCACAGGTCTCAAGTTTGGCATGGTCCATGCGTGTGTGCTTCTATGTGAGATTCTATGTTCCATGTCTCCCGCGGACCTGCCGCGGGGCCACGAAGCTGTAGCTGTTGAACAATGCCGCCACGCAGGCAAGGGCCGCCTTACTCATGCGCCGGAACAAGCTGCAAGTTGCAACTTGCGGCTGCTGGAAGCCACCAAGGTGGCGGCAAGGGGAGCCAACACTGCCCGAGAGCGTGCCATCGCTGTTCAGGCCGAGTACTGCAAAAACCGGCTGATCAGGAGCCCACACGCGCTGTGCAGGTTAAATGCGTTAAGGATGCATGGAGAGGACTGACTGGCGGCACATGCTGCACTGCACAAAACAAAGGCCATAATCAGCATTTTGGCATCCCCGGGCGTGCTGGCGCAATGCTGTTCCATACACCAGCTCACTTCCTCAGCTCGTCCGTCAAAAGGCAACAGAAAGAACGATGCAGGTTCTTCATGCCGAGCTGAGTGGAAACACATCCTGGGTTTGGTGTATATTGCTGTCTTGCCATGGGCAAGTAATCTTAGACCATGTTTTGTAAGAGGGCCTCTACACACAAACGGATGCAGAAGTACATCAGGATTTGTTCGCACCCGGTGTGGAGCCGTAGACGTTAATTCAACTTAGCGATTATTGGGGTCTCCGGTACTCCTCGCGCGTCCGCAGAAAAAAGTTGGAGGCAGGGGGTGTTGCCCACGCTGCCCCTTCTGGACCCCCATGCGCCCGCCGACCCATGCAAACCGCCTAGTAGGCCACCCATGGACCTAAACCCTGAACCCTAAACCCACATGGACCTCTGGACCCCGCATGGGTTTAGGGTTTAGGGTTTAGGGTTTAGGGTTTAGGGTTTAGGGTTTAGGGTTTAGGGTTTAGGGTTTAGGGTTTAGGGTTTAGGGTTTAGGGTTTATGGACTCTATCCTCCCTCAACATGGACCCTCTGGCTGCCTGCGGGTTCTCAGGTCTAGAGGTGACTCCGGCGAGGATACCTCTTACAAGAACGGCTTTCTCTCCTTCAGGGGCCTCAGGGTGTTTGAGGTCATTTCCGCAGAGGTCAGCATGCTCCACAGATAAGATCTGTCTGAGGTTCTTCGCTTCATTCCCCCCCCCCCCTGTGAACCTAAAGGAATTCGTTCTTGCCGAGTCTGAGAGTTTCACGTCTTGGTCTCCAGTGACGGCCATGAAAAAACCCCAAGGCAAAGGACAAGCATTAGCATGTGAGTGGGACTCCGGCAGCTTCTTCTTTGGGCGCAGCTGGTTGGAGTGTCCACACCTGCACACGAAAGTTGCCGAAAGTTGCCGAAAGATTTCCTTTGGGCTCTGCTAAGTCTGCTAAGTCTAAGTGCTCTGAGCCACACACTTCTTCTTGCGGCAGTTCACCGCCCTTCAGGAGTGGAGTGACGTGAACTCGTGATCCCTCTGCCCCCACTCCGACTGCATGCTTTTCTGAAGTCTCGCCTGGCGTGCAGGCGTGCGTAGCATCTTCGGCAGATCTCGGCTGCGGGTGGCAGAACAGCGCCCCCAAAACCCAGCAAGACCCAGGATTTCCTGGGCTACCTGGCCATCTTCTCACAGTTGAACTTTCGCGCAAGGACCGCCAGGGAAGGCTCAATGACCTCGTGAGGCCCATTCCAAGGATGTGGTTTTCAACCTAAGGAACAGCCCATGCCCTTAGCAATCCGCCACCTGCCAATCCCTTCCTACTTGGACAGCTCTGGGCCCTCAGACGCCGCCTCGGAGGCGCAGCACCAGGTGCAGCGTCGACTCCTAAACGTTCGAGGTATTTCGAATGGAGCACAGGGGTTCCGATCGACTCTTGTGACTGTGACTCTCTTTCACTTTTTTGCACAGCGTTTGGCCCTTTGCTTATGCGTGTGAGGGCTTCGCTCCACCCTTTGCCCTGCTGCTGAGGCAGCCTTCTGGATGTTGTAGTCGCTCAGCGTGCGGCCGTCCTTCCACGATGCTGCAACGCATCTCACCGGGATTGTCGGGAGGCCCGGCGTCAAAGCGTGCCTCCAACTGCTTGCCTGCAAAGATCAAGCGCTGCTGGTCGGGGGGGATGCCTTCCTAAAGCAGTGGATGCTGCTCACGCCGCAGACTCACTCCACACAGCAGCTCAGGGCGATTCCTTATCCTGGATCTTGGCCTGACAGGTGAGATATGTATGTATACATATATATATATGTATCTTTATGTATGTTTCTTGTTGACTTATTGATGTCAATAATCTCATTTTCGTTTTATTTCATTTTTATATTCATTGCATTACATTGTATTATAAACATATACATATATATATATATATAGCATTATTATTATCCTTGTTATTCTTCTTATCATTATTATTACTAGTATGATTCTTCTTAGCATTACCGTTATTATGATGTTTATCTTCTTACATATATATATATACACGACGTACCCATGAAGAAGTCAGTGCACGATGGCGTGCACAATTTCCAGCCTTCACATTGTCGATCGTGTCAGACGCCTCATTTTCCAGTTTCGGGCCCGGGTGCAGAAAGTATGCCCGTGCAGCCCTGCCTCAACATCCAGAGTGATGGTCTTCCCCGTCAGTGTCTTGACCTTGGAAGGTCCGCAGACCCAATTGCATGTTAACACCGGCTGATACCACGTCATCGTGGGACGTTTACACAAGCAGAGGAATGTAGGAGAGCATTCTCGGCAAGAAGGCGTGCTTCGCAAGGAAACGTCGAAGTCGCACACAAAGATAGAATACGGTACACAATCTGCGTTAGGCAGAGAAGCGCTGGCTTCAGAATAGCCTCTTTCGTCCTACCCACCTGATTACGAAGCACGAAACCTTCAAGCCAGGTGCTTGCATCTTGGTGCTAAATCACCGCTGTGCCACACCCAAAAACCCGTGCCCACGAAGCTTCTCTCATTGTTCACTGTCCAGATCATGTCTGCGGCGCCTACTCAGAGGATCTCTACATGCGTTTTGGGTTTCTTTCAGGATAGGTCTGCCGGAACTCGAAAGGGCAATACTTGCCAAGCCTGTGGAATGAGCCACAACATGGCAGAAAGACTCTCAGGAGGAGCTTCACGTTCCCACTTCTTCTCGAACGTTCGTTAGTGATGTTCATTGCCCTTCGTGAGGCTAAAGAATATGGAGTGGATGGTAGTGGATGTCACCGGCGCCTCGACTTTGGCCATTACCGCTTCTCGCTTTCAGAATCAGCTGAGGGGGCTCCACCGACAATCGAATCCCATGAACTTTTGTCCATGGCTTTGACTGGCAACCCGAAACCCTAAACCCAATGAACCCTCATGGCCCTCCTTACGCCCTAAACCCTATAAAATGGCCCTCCCTAAGCCCCAATGGCCCTTCATGAGCATCTTCCTGAGACGCTTTCGGCCCTTGGAGCTTCGGCGCCTGTCCCTGAAAGCACCTCCTATACAGGGCAGCTGAGGCAGCCGACAAAGATCTGCATGGCTGAAAGGTTCCTATCTGTGAGCCAAGATGGTCTGCAGCATCCTATACACTCTACAGAATGCAAGATCTCTCTGGGTGATTAGTGCTGCTGACGCTCTGCGAGTACAAGGTTGCCATGCTCACCGAAATCTTGCAATCAATTTCAACAATGCAAGCACACTCCGCAGCACCCCGACCCCGACATGAGCTTTACTGAACCGTTTAGCAGACCGGATGGTTTCCGAAATAGGATTCTTTATCGGGGTCCTCGCAAGGGGATCCTACTATTTGGGGGTCTATTTTAAGGGCTCCCTACTTCCGTAAACCCCCATCTTGCTCTGGAGCCGTAGTGTAGCCTGCTTGTTTTACGCGCGCTTGGCGTTCCTCAGCGCAGCCACGGGCCACGGCGGAAGGAACCTGCCATGTGCAGGCAGGGAGAGGAATCATCCGGAAGGGTCCACGCTAGCGAACAACATCGTGGACTCCTTTTTGGCTTCGTCTGACTGGCAAAGACGGCCCCACCGAACCCCTGTCCAAGATATGTCGGGGTGAACGGCGGGCTGTATATAGCTGTATATCCCGAGCCTCCCGTCTGACTAGTGCAGCAGGAGGCCCCGAAGTCCGACAGTGTAGGCATAGCCACACCGGTGTGGGCGCAGTGTAGAATCATGCCTCAGAAACTCATGCTTCCGAATTGCTGCCGCCGCCTGACACCACCTGAACCGGCGAGAGGCTGGCTAACGGGCAGTCTACATCAAACCCACTCTGTACAGAGCTATAGCGCCTTTGGCGCCTATCGAGTTCTTAGGGCCCCCTTCGAAGGGCCTTCAAAACATGGAGCACGACTGCTCCCTTTGCTAATCGTCTCCGGATCCATCTGAGTCGGCTGTGGGGCGGATGTGTTCACCAACGTAAACGTACGGATTGCCACCGGCAAAACCAACCTTGCAGCCCGTAGGGCATGTTCGATCCTCTTGGAGATCGTCCGGAAACACAACGCACCATCCACTTCCCCCGGTGCACAGAGCCTCCCCAATCGATCCGTAGCGGGTCGTGACGCAACATGCTTGGAAAGCGGCGTCACAATTTCCCTTCTGTTGATGAGTTCTCACGCACCCCTTTACAATCGTTGAAAACCGGCTGGGGCAGTCGTACAGGCTCGTCTGCTCGCATGACCTCAGATGCCCAGGCAAGTCAAGCAATGAAACCCGGTAGTAGTAGTAGTAGTCGTCGTCGTCGTCGTCATCGTCGTCGTAGTGGTCGTGGTCGCGGTCGCGGTCGCGGTCGCGATCGCGATCGCGGTCGTGGTCGTGGTCGTGGTCGTAGTAGTAGTAGCAGTAGTAGTAGTAGTAGTAGTAGTAGTAGTAGTAGTAGTAGTAGTAGTAGTAGTAGTTTAGTAGTAGTAGTAGTAGTAGTAGTAGTAGTAGTAGTAGTAGTAGTAGTAGTAGTAGTAGTAGCAGTAGCAGTAGCAGCAGCAGTAGCAGTAGCAGTAGAAGTAGTGGTAGCTAGTAGTAGAAGTAGTAGAAATAGTAGAAGTAGTAGAAGTAGTAGAAGTAGTAGAAATAGTAGAAGTAGTAGAAGTAGTAGAAATAGTAGAAGTAGTAGAAGTAGTACTTGTAGAAGTAGTAGAAGTAGTAGAAGTAATGGAAGTAGTAGAAGTAGGAGAAGTAAT